GGCGAAGGGATGTGGTGGAAGAGTGGAAATAGGTGGGAAGGTGTAGAGAGAACTGAGTGCACCATCTAGGTCTGCATGAAAAGCTGGGAAGGGCGGATGAGTTGGGTTCAATCCACCGGCGGCGCTCTCGTGATCTCAACCTAAATCCTAAACCTGGCCTCTGGATGACCAAAGCAGGTAGGAGCACAACGTCGAATTTTGTCTTACCGACTCTTTCACAAACGTAATTAAATTCCACCTTTTAACCTCGAAACTCCTCTGACTTTGTGGAACATGTCCATCTTATTAGTCCCGCCTTCAACAGGAATGGCTCTCAGGCGATCATCGATAGGCTTGTTTGATCAATATTGCAATCGAAGGTTCCATTAGAATTATCCCAGAAGGAAGAGGACTCCGTCGCGAAGATTTGTTGCAAGCGCCGCAAGTCAAAGTCATCGTGCTTTTCAGTTGGCGAGTGTCGGTTGCGGGCATTCACCCCGATGATGACGTGCTCCTCGTGATACCATTATGCACCATCAACAGGGTCAGTGGCCGACTTGGGAGACAAACACTGCGGGAACTTGTCGGCACAATAACGGCACGCAGAATCCACGGCAGGGAAGAAAGACTGGGACTCGAAGACTTAAGACACACAACTTAGTAATCCACTCTAGCTGCGTATAACCTCAAGTAGCTATCTTACTCATGATGGCACGAGGGGATCCTACGACATGCAGGATCGAAAGTAGGCTGGACTGGACATCTATGAAATCTCAAATCTAGGAAGAATCAGCAAAAGACAGGTGTGAGCAGGATATTGGCAAGTGGGGTTTATCGACTGGAAAGCTGCTTTCGAATTGGTTTGTCGAGTAGATGAGACCCAATGCGTCACGATAGTAAAGTTTCTGTTGTCTGCTGCGTTCTGTTGAATGCGGTACATATATTTCCTAGATGAATAGGGATCATCTGAGGCTATAATAGAGCAGCATGCTGGCGAGTGATTGGGGATATCACAGGATCTTGGTTCATCCACCATACAAGGCTCCGATAATAGAAGCTTGGACAAAAAACAACTGTTCTAAAACCTGATTATTTAATGAAATTATTGTGTGGAGACTGCTTGAAGACATCAATTAATAATTAATGAGTTATCTAATCAATAATCCAACTTTAGACCTGTAAAAATCGGTACATCTGTGCACGGCGCAGAACCTCTCCACCATTCTCGCTCAAAATGGCATACTACTATCACATCAAATGAAAATAGAATGGTGGATTATAGTCCACAAGGCGGGAAGGCAACGTGAACTGGCAGGATCTCGATGTTATTAGGGCGTTAGTGATGCTGTTGAGCTCCTCGTTGCCGTCGTTCACTGCCTCAGTAGTTCACCACCCCACTAGAAGCCTCAGACGTGCAACCATAGTAGTGGCAAACCAGTCGAATGTAGTAGACGAATTGTTCGGAGAGATTATGGGGATGGTGAACTAAACTCTCCAACTCTAAAACCAATTTGGCAAGAAAGGTTTCCCACGGATTGAGATCAAGGTATGAAGAAATATTTGGAGTAACTGGGGCAGTGTCACAAGACTGATCTGGATTGTCCATGAGAAGGGGGTTGCATTGACGAAATCTTCCTCCCTGATGCATACCGACAGTGCCTGGTCGACGCCCCCACTTAACAGGAGCGCCACTGGACGATTTAATTAGGGCTTGTGGACCCCCCAACACTTCTTGGATGTCAAGATAAAAATTGATTTTAGATTTGATCTATTTTATTTTATTTTATTTTATTTTTAACACAATTGGAGTATACATGTTACATTAATTCACAAGTAAAACACAACTATTTATACTCTACTTTTTTAGGACAACCATGTAAGTGATATAAATGGTACAATGTTACTTGATCCTACCCATGTTGTTTGATTTGGTTGTGTGGATGATAAGTCTCATGTGGAGAAATTTGGTGTTTAGATAGATTTGCATTTTATTTTTTTGTGAATCCTAATACTTCTTTTGGTAGCTAAGTTGTATCTAAGTTTAATCAAAGTTATATTTCTTTTGGTAGTTTAGAAATGTTTTAAAGTGTAAATTTCCACATCATATTTCAATGTTCATAAGGATTATATTAAATAATTTGTCTTACCTTAATATAATTCTATATTTCTCTTTCAAATATTAGAGCAATTTTTTTAGACTAGATAATCTATAAGTAAATGCTTGAAAGGAATTTCTTCAAAACTTTAAGCCTTTAAGTTTAGAATTAATTTTTAAAGCCAAAAATTATTTGTTGTTAAGTAAAGTACTTTTGAAGTTTGTACTTGAGTAGATACAAGATCATTTTTTCATATTTGATGTACTTAATTGTATTCATAATATGTTTGAAGGATTCTTTGTCACAAGCATCAATATCAATATTAATAATTAAGAAGATAAGATGAATTAAGTAAAAAAATATAAAATTAAAATAATTTAAGAATATCTTTGTGATAAACTTCTTAAAAACTTCATTGATGTAGATTTGACTTTACAAGTATTTGAAGATGAATAATAGGTTGAAAACTTATTCAACAAGTTGGCCACAAATTGTACATGTTTGCCACTTGTGGTGTAAGTTAAATACATATCTTACAAATTAGATACTTGTCAAATGACCTATAGAATGTTGCCATGTATCTTTCTAGTTAGATAGTATATATAGAGGTAAAAGTGATGCCTTCTTTATTCTTGTTAATGTCTTTCTTGTCTCTAGTTTAATTTCAAGAGTCTCTAGTCTCCTTATCTTGGACATTAACTATTCTTATTTATTATAGAATACACATATTTTTTTTGATTTTGTTATCTTTGATATAATCTATAATTTATTTTATTTTTCTTCCTTCAAGTTCTTATTTTTAATAAATTAACAAGATCACACTTATAATATCATAATTTTATCTTTTTTAATTAAGAAGATATTCAATTAACAATAGATGAGAAATATAAAAAATAAAATAATCTACTAATTTATAGAATAAAACAAGAGTATCAAATCAACACTCTTATCAAACTATCAAAGACATGAATTATAACAAAATTCTATAGAAACAATATATTTTTGTGACACTCAAAGAAAGAAAGTAGACAAATCAAAGATATATTTAAGATATAAACTAAAATGGCTATTTTTAAATACATAAAGACTAAAGACTTCTTAAAACAAGATTAAGAATAAAAAAGGTGTTGACAAGAGTAACGCCTCACTCTTGTCTCTATGTGTATTATTTAATTAGGGAGTTACATGGCAACATTTTAAAGAATATCTTACACATGTTTAACTTGTAAGGTAAGTTTTCAACACATGTGCCACATGGCCAACTTATAAAGCAAGTCGACAACATGTGTAACACATGGCCAATTTATTAGCAAAGTTTTTAACCTATCAATCACCTATTAATACTTGGAAAATCAAATCTGCATCTATAAAGCTTCTAAGAAGCTTCTCCACAAGATATTATTAAATTTACTTTCTTCTATTTACTTCTATTTAACTCTTCTAATCTAGATAATTATTAATATAAATATATATGTCCATAATAATTATCCTCTTTAAAATATTTTAATTAATAATTAAAATATATATTTAGAAACTATTATATTTTATAGTTCTAAGCTAATTTTATATATTATATTAATTTATGGTACAATACTACTTGGAATTATAGCCTCCTAAAGATAAAAAAATATAATATTATTGATATTTAATACAAATTTATTGAAATATTTTAAATTTTTCTATGATCAATTCTAAATTCACTTGACTTTGGACCATACTTCAATATAATTTCAACATTATTATATTAATCAAGATATGGAATGAAGTAGGACTTGTTTTCAAAGACCAAAATTTGAACATAGTATGGTTGTAAAAAATACATTATAAGAACCAATTCAAAAATACACTATACAATTTACTTATGAATTTTATTATTGTACATTTTTTTATAAACTTTAATCTTTATAATATTCTTAGATATAAAAATTTTAATTGGAATAAAATTATATGTATATATATATATATATACACATTATTTTTCAAACTTTCAAATTTATGTTCCACATATATATATATATATATATATATATGATTAATTGTGAAGCCATTTTATTAAATGTAAATAATTGACTCATTTGTATATATATATATATATATATATATATTCAATAGTATAGCTATATCATCTATTATGGGTTTTAAACATATACTATCAAATATACTATTGAATATGCAAACGTAATAACAGATATATTTTGATGCTTTCAAACAAACACATCCTTCATGTTTTCTTCATTAATGTGATTTTTTAAGCAGCATGCAACGTTCAACATCCTTTATAAGAATATAAACACTAAGAGTTTATGCCTTTAAAGTTCACACTTGATGCTTATTGAATTGCTGACACATCTAATTCTTCTACTTCTTAAAAATAGTATACTTGAAGTACGAACGTAGATGAATCTATCTTCATTACATGCATATTAATGACTTTTAGGCAAAAAATTGCAAAAACCCAATTTGCCTTGAAAATATCAAAATCACTAGTGAAGTGGTATCTCAAGTTGTTGACACAGCGTTATGCCCAAGCGAAAAGAATATCACAACTTTTTGGTGACCTGTGTGGATTCCTCTCTTGATGCAAAAAGAGGGTCTGGTTTGAAACGTTCTGAGTCGCCTCTTCAACTCACTACCTGGACAGTCGACTAGGCACTCACCTACACAGGCTCTACTCATGATAAGAATATCAACTGCAACCTGAAGCCATACATGAGAATGGACTAGAGCCACATTAGAACTATTCAAGAAAGTCATTTAATTCATTAAACTCATCCGGAGGACTAGCGCTGATAGCAATAGGATACTTGCGCTGAATAAAGATATGTATAGAAGTCGGACAGATTGGTTACGTAGGATTTGAGATCATAGTCAAATATAAGAAACAGAGATTAATGAGCAGATTCCAAGTTGACCATCAGAAAGATATCTCATCCAAATGCATCTAAACACGAACTTGTATTTAGCATCTCCCATCACGTATACACAGACGATTTGCAGCTCAACATTGAGGGCTTTAGCAAATAGCTTAAAAGCCACTTCCGAGGGCACCAACCTTCGCCACTAATGTACATGTTTTTGCTACAATCTACGTACGTGGGACCAATTGGTTCCGGTATATCACAATTTGTGATTAAGACCTGACTGCGTGTGTTGCCAAAGAATCAAAGGTGACTTGTAACTTTCTATTCGTTTTCTGATGCATCATCTATCTGCCTGTAGGGGAAAATTAGTTGGTCTTGTTGTCTCCACTGTGACTTGAGTTCATTGATAGCCTTACTAGCAGCTGCTGCCACTGCTGGATTGGAGTCCATCGATAACCTCTGCAGAAGGCATTGAATTTAAGAGTTCATCAGATAGCATGAATAATTTATGCTGGAAAATGACATAAGATATCAAAAGAACACAACTAATTATTTGTGCATGAGCCACTTCGACTCGTGCAAGGGATAATCAGCATAATATCTGTGCTCTTGTGCATAACCTTCAAAGAGACGATTTCAAAGATGAAGACGAATTATACCTGGAGGGCGCCCATGCCTGCGTTCCCAAGCGTCCATAATGATGGTGCATCAGATAGTGCATCTGCCAATGCGAGGCTGCACACCCCACAAATAATTGTTCAAAATTTAAGGATGGGGAACCAGAAATGGTCATTACTCATGTAGCAGATGGCTCCAAAATTCACAATGAATTATGTAAATGAACTTATTATTTCTCGTGTTTCCAAAATCTAACGATCCTTCGTTAATATGGTTTCAAATGTATAAGTTGTAAGATACACCAACCTCAGTCAAGGCATTTCACCAATCTCATCCATAGTTTTGATTTAGAGCATGGCTTGGAAGATTCGTTGATGAACTAGGAAGAGTAGGAGAAAGGCTTGGAGTATTCATTTTGGAAGGCAGATGATAGGTAAACTTACCGAGTGGCTACATCAGGGGAGCTCGCACTTTCGGTCACTAACAACGCACCACCTCCGCCGTCGACCTCCTCCATGTCCAGCAATGCAGCCACGATGAACTCTAGCTGTATTTACACGAAACTAATCTTCACATATTGCTCTACAAACGCATTCCGAATCCTAGAATTAAAACTTGCCTAATTGGAGTACTTACGCTTGACTAATAACCTTTAAGGGATTGAAGAAGAATGGACTAGTTAATCACACACCTCATCTGGATCAGTACACTCCATGCCCTCTGCCTCAGCTAGTGCTGACGCCATCTTCCAGTATGCATCCTGCAGATAACCCACTCGTGTCTCTCAAAAACATTTATTGCACCAGTTAAAACTTCAAAATCAAGCAAAAAACAGTCCCGAGCGAGTTTCTTTGCGCATACCAAATTTCATGACATTATGTTCGGTGACACATTTATTCAAATAATGAAGGTTCAAAATGCAAAATGAAATACAAAATTCAAAATGCAAGTCATGACAACCTCCAATCGAGTCTTTTCTGATTCAGACCTAACTTTCCCTGTTTAAATCTACCAAGCTGAATCTAAGACTATTGTAGACTTACTGCTTAAGGTAGGTCCAGTTTGAAAAGCTGTCCAACCTGAATTGGTGTTGAGCGATCTAACATTGGATCCCTGTTTTGCAGATAACTTGAAAACCCTTCATTGTATTCTATTGCACCCGCTTTCACTCCATCATTTCCAACATCTAGATGTGAATTCTTAATTGACCTGCACATTCAATTGAAGACAAGAAAATATCACCTATTTGAATGACTGCAAACTGAAACTTTCCCAACTCATATCAACTCAAACTTACAAACATAATAGATCCGTAAGCTCGTTGAGAAATCGATAGTTTATGTACATAGAGACATCACCAAATTGCACTACTGACCTAATTTTCAACGTCCTGACCAGGGCATCGTGAACACTCTTCACAGCCTGCAATGCGGCATATAGATCTTCCATAGCTCGACGACGAGCTCGCAAGTCTGCCAGACGCAAATCGGCCTGCAATAGCAAAAGACATCGCATCGAGCATAGCAGAGTTCGCAAGAAACAATTAGGACGTAGTAGCAGACATTATGATCTACCTATAATAATAATAATAATAATAATAATAAATAAAAAATAAAAAAAGGAATTTGCAGGTTCGGTTACATAAAAAGAGAGCCTTACATCCAGAGCTCCATCGTTCCAATGTTCCTCTGCAGCACTACTCAGCTCCATAGAAGCAGTCTCCGTCAACCCCTGATCGACAAAGAACAACCCCTTATAATTGTTAGCCGTGCTTCATGAAAATGAACACATGTAACATTGTCTCTTTCACTGAAATGGAGAAAAAAAAATACTATGTCGATCTGCAAAATAATTACAAAGTCGACGTAAAATAATTTCGCGGTTCTTGTAACAGTATTCTCTTATCCAAATAAATAGAAGTTTCCAGAAACTGACCAAAGCAATATGACGAAAACGCATCATATCCTTGCGTGCTTGAGTATCCAGCTTCTCCACGTCTTCTCGAGCACGGGCTGTACATGTAACATCATTGATTTAATTCAGTTACCGTCCCTCCAGGACAAGCAACTAACCTGGAGCACATTGAAAAGATACATTCTGCACAAACCAAACCAAAGCACACACTGTTGCACGTAACCCAACATCTCATAGCACAAAAATTCAGAATCAGTTAATTCTGCGAAAAATTTATCAAATTACCATCAAGTTTCAAAAACCCTGAACCTAGAAGAGCAACACCCTCACGAGCTCTCATGTCAAGACGCAATATTTCTCTGCATATGTTGCAACAAAAAAAAATGTCAATCCCACTAAATGATTCGACAACGTCCAACAATGCTTTAGATATAGTTGATGACTATCACTACAAATCTGAAGTGCTCAGCAAGTTGTGCTGTGCCCTCTTCAAGTTGGCAACCGTCGTAATCCAAAGATCTATCAGCATGAGATCTACAAAGCACTGCAATCAACGACAATCCTGACTAAAGATGGACATTATTGATTCGAATTCTGTGACTCTAGCATTTATCCATCCTTCGAAGTGGACTCCCTCTTCAAGAAACACTTGTCTCCAAGATTAATTCCATGGCAATTCAACTTTCTTAAAGATAGAATTGGTTTCCCAGTTGTTATCATTATAGAGAATACGGGGTGAATGTGCAACAACAGGGACAGTAACATGATCAACGATCCTTGGCAAAACGCACCTTAACAACATCAAAAAATCATTACGAGCCCGTTCATCGATGTTCTGCGCAACAGTACACATCAACATTGCATCGTTGAGAGCGCACCGGGCAGCCTCCGCAGGTCCACCACAATTTCTCCTTGCAGACTGAGGCATCACACACTTTTGTCCGCTCACACTGCACATCTTCTCATCGACTTCCACATTACTCTTCACTTCACATCGAAATCCTGTCCTGACCGCCCTATTTCCGCTCCTAAAATTGCCCTTATTTCCCACTTGTGCGCCAAGAAGTACTTGAGTTAATCCATCACCCAGTACGATTGATGCCGAGAGAGCCATTCTTTAGACTGCAGCGTGCGATAGGATAAGAATGTTCCAATTACGACACCAAGATTCAAATCAAATGGCGCTCAAGAAATATGGCCTTGTTACGACTCTGGAAGCTCGGCCTCCTGCAACAACATGCATGTGTAAATCGCAACCTAAGAAACTAATTGCAAAGCACTCACTCCTTCCGCAACCACCAATGAGCTTTGTGCTACTGCTTGCCTGAGACTACCTGATGGCCTATTCATCCCGGTGTGACAAGATGCTCTCACTACTTCAAATCCTCAACTGAATTCTAGAACTACTTAAATAATGAAACATTTTTACCCACTTGCATTGCGAAACAAGATTAAGCCGAACCCACAAACAGAATACACCTCCATGTGCGCATTGTAAACATCCCTAACCTCCCTAAAATTCCCAAACACCCATACACACACACTACTGATCACTAGAACAACAGACACACACGCGCACACACACACACACACCAATTTCTAACAAAAATCCATTATTCCAATCGTGTACAGGAAAAAGTTTCATAATCCACCAAGAAACAGTCCACCAATTTTCCCAAAAATTGTACTCGCACAGATTACAGAATTGCAACCTAGTAATTGCAGGTACACAAACCGTGGGCCACTACTAGCTCCCGTCCTTCCTCTCCTACCACACTCTATACCTCAACTTACGTCAATGTCTCAGTCAGAGAACACAACTTCTGAGACCCCCCACAGACGATAAGTCCATACAGCGGAGGGGCTTTTACCCACCACAATTAGAGGACATCCCAATTTGAACATTGAAGTTCTGGCAACACAGATAAACCAGTATGATGCAGCAGAAGATGAGGAGCTCCGACCACAGACTCACCCAGTTCGGATGAGCTGGAGATTCTGGTGCGAATAGGCGGGGCCCCTGTCTTTCCAACATTTGATTCTATCAGTTGGTATACGTACACGTTAGGTCTCAGTGGGGTCGCGCGTTTGTGGTTTGATGGGTTTCAAGGATGCGATGCAACCTGACGTTCGGGATGTACAGAGCGAGAATCCATTCTCTTTTCATTTTCAGTTCCTCTGACATTTTACTTTTCATCGGGGGTAGTAGCAGTGGGCATTTGATATTGTATAAAAACAACGAATCTTTTCAGTATAGTTGTATGCGAAATAGGAATTTTAACAATTCAATGAATGCTTGGTTGGCGACTCAAAATAGTGTGCTGTTTGCAGACGAGCACAGCAACTGGATAATATTCTCAACTGGTTAAGACATCCTTTCATGACATCTAAATCCTTGTCACAAGTGTATATATATATATATATATATATAGACACTCACTCGCATGTACATACATAATGTTACACATGTAACAGTGCCTAATAATTTCTTCATGCGTAAAAATCATTCGGGTATAACAAATAACTCACAATCCAAGGTCTTCAGCTACATTCTGAAAAGCAAAAGCCCCATCCACATATGAAAGGGGGTTCCAAAAAGATGTCATACAGTGTAAAGACTGGGTTAAATAACCGAAATAAGAAGAAAAACAATAATCAGTTACCTGCTACCTCTTCTCAACCTGCATAACCCTTACTAAACTAGACCTCACAAAAGACTTAGATGAGGCAAATGATGCAGTGCAATACAAACAGATTATTAGAATCACCAAAGTGACGAAATATAATGACAAAAATAATAATAAAGTAAGACTTCATCCACAACAAGACATCCACCGGGCATGATGATACATGCTGAAGTGAAATTCATAAAAGAATCGGATAGGACCATAAAATTGCTAACCATCAAAGTCAGGATTATCCACACAACATTTCTGCACTATCATTCACAGAGGGAACAATGACATCAAGCCTTACTAAACGATCTAAAGCATGTCTTCGAAAAAAACACTGCCCAGACAACTTAATCAAATTCACCATTCAAAACACCTTATTACTTTACAATAAAAACGGACTATACCTAAGCTGATGAGCAGGGCAGTGACATGACACAACCTATAAAAAATCAGTTCAAGTATGAACAATGTCAACTCAAAACAAAAATTCACAGATCGACAAAGTGAAAACATCGTGGTGACTATCAGCAGTTAACAGAAATAAGTCAACATCGTAAAACATCAAAACCAAACACATCTTAAATACATATTCTACTGCACCCTCCAGAAATGACAAAACACATTAGTTCATCCAACTTAAGAAAAGTAAACATTCAAATCACCATTCAAAAAATTACAACTAATTTCGCTAATCCTTTGCGTACACAAAAAATGGACAGGCCTCGTCAAATATTCTACACCACTGACTCAAAATATCATCTACATGATCAAATAAATTACATCAAAACAAACAAAAACGAAAGACGAGCACCATCAAAATCAAATCTGAGAACTAAATGACACTCTAATCAAACTCCGCAGTCGATCAAGCCTCTCAAAATCCGTCAAAAAACAAACATAGCCGAGAAATGTGCAGAACTTTTAAAATAATGATAAATAGAGCCAAAAAGTACTCGTAACAAAAGAGGATAAAAATGTTCTTCACAAACGGTATACGACAAAGAAGATGAGAAAGATTCCTCATCATACAATATGGATTCATTCCTTAAACTATCATCACAAGGCTGCTTTCTCTAGTTGAACAGCCCTCCGAACGAGCCAGTCATGCCCAGCCCTCCGAGCATGTTATTCCCGCCCACATCGTGATGCATCGACTGATGGCCCACCTCCTGCAGCTGATTTTGCTGTTGCTGTTGCTGCTGCTGCTGCGCAACCGCAGCGGCCAAATTCAACCTCGCGTTGTGCGCGCTCATGTTGCCCATCAACCCGCTCAGACCGTTCAATCCATTCCCTCCTACAACGCCGCCCATCCCTCGCAGGTTGTGGTTCCCCAGAGCAGAAAGGGCCACGTTGCTCCCCACCCCGCCAATACCTACGCTACTTGCGCTGTTTCCCACCAGACTGTCTATGCTGCTGCTGCTGTGAGTCACCCCTACGTGGTTGTTGTTCACTAATCCGCCAATGCTGTGCACGCTGTTCATGCCGCCTCCCAGTCCCAGCATCCGCCCCTGCCCCACCCCGTTCAGCCCCAAGCTTCCTGCCAGAGATCCCGTCAGGTTCCCGTTCAGCCCGTTCCCCAGGCTTCCTACCCCACCGCCCACACCAACATGTCCACCCCCTTGCTGGTTCATGCAGTTCCCGTTGTTGCTCAGCTGCTGGTTCAACATCATCTCTTGCAGCAGGTTGTGCACTACATTCGACGGCCCCCCGTGATGGCTGCCCTGCGCTTTCTGTTGCTGCTGCAGTGCCCCGCCACCGCCCCCTCCTCCTACTTTCTGCTGCGATGAAGCCTCGCCTCGTGAGTACGAGCTCGCTCCCCCGCCCGACAGCGACGGAAATGAATTCTGAAATGACGACAGTGAGTTCGTCGGAGACGCCTGCAGCGTCACCGCACCCGCTCCTCCTCTACCCCCCGACACCTGCTGCTGCTGCTGCTGCGCATGTAAGCTGCTGCTTCCCAGCGGGCTCTGCACCATGTTCTGCACGCTTCCTCCGTTTGCCGCCGATTGCAGTGTGTCGTGCAGAGATGTCTGCAGCGCCGCTAGCGAGTTCGACGGGAAGAACGCGCTCAGACTGTCCGTCTCCGCCGGCGCTGAAATCAATTCCTCTAACCCGTCCCCCGCCCGGCTCTCCAGTTGATTCGCCTCCTCGAACTGCTGTTGTAAGCTGCTCAGGGCTGTCGTGTTCGTCTCTGCTAGAAGGCTCTGCAGGTCCAGATCCTCTTGCTGCTGTGACGCCGCTTGTCTCTGCTGCTGCTGCTGCTGCTGCTGATCCGTCTGTCTCAACTGTTGCTGCTGTTGCAGTTCTTGCTGTCTCTGTTGCACCTGCTCTTGCCGCTGCTGTTGTTCCTGCAGTAATCTTAGTTGCGCATTCCGAAGCATGCTTCGACTGCTCCCGTCACTTCGTCGAGGGAACTTGTGTAAACTCGCTGCAAGTCAAACCACGCCGCCAACCCCGACCACAAATCAGCACCATGCCACCACTAACCCTACCCAAACCACATTACAATCCCCTCCACCTCCGCTGCTATGCAACACACAACTACCCCCCTCCTCACGTCAAACCCCCCAATCGATTCCCTAACACTCCACCCAACCCACTCCACTACCACCTACACACGCCGTCACCATACCGATGGGCCCGAAGCTGTTGTCGCGACTGTAATCTATCAGGTCTTTCATGCTGTTCACCACCTCCGAAATCTGCACACCACCACCGTGCCCACGCGTCCGCGTTAGTCACCACTCACTGACACCAACCCATCTCTCCGTCTACCTGCACCGCCACCCGCAACATTCCCTCCATCTCCTCTCCTCACTTCTCCTACCTGCAGACACCGAACGTAGCGCTTCGTGTACCCAAGCTCATTCACGTTTGGCATTTCCAAATTCTTCGCCAGCTGCCGTGCACTTGCCACAAACCTGCCACACCGCAACCATCCCCACTCAGCTCCTCATTTTCCTTCCTCACCACCACGTCCAACCCACTCCTCCACAACCCCCCCCCACAAACAACTACACCCACACCTCCCTCTACTTCTCACCCAAACGCTCCCACCAACACGCCACCTTCACATCAACCCTTCTCCGCTGCCCGCTTCCCTCCCTACCCTA